AAAATCTAGATCGAGCTTTAAATAACAAGAAGGTTAATCAATCGGGGTTGTAAAGCTGAACGCTTTAGTAAAACGTACGAACAAGTTAACGGGTGCCTGATGTGTAGTTGCCGCTTAGAGGTTTACAATGTTATTGCTATTTCATTAGTTTCAATACACACACAGACACACACACACACAGTCTATAAAATATAATCATTATTGTTTTCAGAATTAGAACATAATTCTTTCAAACTTAGAACCATGGTGTTTGTCTGATTCTTTAGGGTAAAGTATAATTCAAGTAACACCAGAAAATGTTCATTCCACATTCGGTACATAAGTTAAGTGATTTTCGGTCATTTTCATTTCTTTCTTTCTCTGTATCGCCGTTTAGAATTATAAACAGACGAAATGCCTACAACAAACAAAACCTCTAACAATAATCGTAATATACCTTTACATTTTTGATTTCATAGGCCTAAACAAACCGTACTGAAAAACACCTGCATAAATTTTGAAATAAAACAATACACTAACCACATGCTAAGAACAATAATACACGGGTCACTCCGACTTTACCAAGTTATCATATCTGATTCTGTTTTTTAAAAAAGATGTAATTTCCAAGTTTTACCCAGGTTTCGGGGTCTCCCACCTTTATCTCTTTCAAGCACATGTTCTTGCCAAAAGCCTGGGTTCGTGTATAACCGTTATCACAACCCTTCTTAGCCAAGACTCCAGATCACTGTCACGCTCTTTTCATTCACGCGACGAAATAGAGATTGCATTTTTTTTTTTCGTAACTAAAAAAATGTTCGCTGATTTTGAACTTATTGTGTATTTATGGATCAACATAACTGATTCTTCTAAAAACAGGTTATAGGTAAAAACGTTAGTCACACAAGTAATGTTACTCAAAAAATTAAATAAATAAAACTTGTGACGAGAATGGTTTCTTTGTTTTACTAAGTCACTCACATCGTTTCTTGGAACACTCATATCCCTAGTTTTGTTTTTCTCTCTAACTTGTGTACAGCTCTCAATGACCATTCATTTATCAACATTAATCTAATGTACTATACACTTGTATTCAGAACAAACACTGAGTCCGTTCACTTGAAATAAATTTGCTAGTAACACGAATGTATTATATGCTGAGGATAAGAACTTTTCCAACGTTGTTTTTTTCTTTTAATAAACAGGAAAAAAAAGGCATAAAAATACTACATATTGAGCTTTGAAATAATAAGATTAATACCGTGAGTACCTCAGTACAGTCCGGTAATATCTTATAAACGTTTATATGCGAAAATTGAAACAATTCTAATCTTTTATTCGAAAATGTTTAGTTCCCTGATTAGATAGATGTTTCATACACGATATTCATTTGCTCAAACGATATAAAACTTTTCAAAATGTTTAAAATAAGTCCTTATGAAACATATATTATTGATGTGGCACACTGGTGAGAAGGTCCCTCCAAGAACCACGTGCACCATAACGACAAGCAAGCCTTCAAGGTCGTCAAAGACCGTAAAGTATTATGGCGCCTTTAGCTCGTTGTCGACCTGCAACACATTCAGTTAAAGATAGGTGGCACACAGTTGTATTGGAAGGCGGGTGAATAAAATGTGCAGAATAAATAGGAGGGTAAAACACTTCGTGTACGTATGCACCAGTTCAGTACTTCTACACTTGTGTTGTTGTGCGGTTAACGATTTGAATTTTTAAAACACATCAATCAACAAACGGCGTTCACTAAGGGCATTAAAAAACAAGCCTTTACACCTTGGAATCAATCTCGCGTAACGTAAATACACGTGTTTATTTAAATCTGGATAGTACAAAACGTTAGGCTTTGGTTGGTTAATTTAAAAATTGTAAAATCTTCAGTGGAATTAAGAGGTTTTCGTAAAATGACATTCATAACACAAAGTTATAGCAAGTTAACATTACAGCTCATAACACCAAGTCATAGCAAGTTAACGTTACAGCTCATAACACCATGGTATAGCAAGTAATCGTTATAGTTAATAACACCATGTTATAACAAGTTAACGTCACAGTTCATAACACTAAGTTATGACAAGTCCACTCAAAATGACCTTATCTGATGTGAGGCCAGTAAAGTAACATTTAATATATAAACATAAATAACCGAAAGGTCAATCAACTAAGGTTCTAAATCTCCAATCTTAGAATTTAAAACCTTTTAATGCCAATAAAGTATGCACCAGTTATGCCAGTTGAAAGGAACTGGTTTGTTGAACAACCTGCAGGTATGGTGCCAAAGCTTTTCATCACAGGTAACCAGTTGGCTTCACCTGCAGTGCCTTCCAGATATTAGATATGGGAATGTATTCCAAGAAATACAATAAATATATCAAACAAAATAAAGACAACTTGAAATTAGCCATATATTTTTTTTCTCTTATCACTCCTTATTTTCTTCTCTCTCTTTTATTACAATTTCTTTAAAGCATTGAACCAGTAACAATTTCCACCAGACTTTTCTGTCAGTTTTGATAACAGAATAAATGACAACCTGAAATACAGTCTTTCAGTATAAGAGAAGCACCACAAGACTAAGGGCTTTTGTATAGGAATGCTGACATAGCACATATACCGTTGCATTTTAATCTGTGATTGCCGTTATGTACTATTAATATTAAAAGATGTCATTCTGGTTACCCATTATTTTAATCTGTGATCATGGTTGTGCACTATCAGTTTTAAAAGATGTTATTCTGGTAAACCAGCATTTTAATCTGTGATCATGGTTGTGTACTATCAGTTTTAAAAGATGTCATTCTAGTTAACCAGCATTTTAATCTGTGATCATGTTTCTTTACTATTTAAAATACAAGATGTTGTTCTGGTTACCCATCATTTTAATCTGTGATCATGGTTATTATCGATATTTAAAAGATGTAATTCTGGTCACCCATCATTTTAATCTGTGATTATGGTTATGTACTATAAATACTACAAGACATCATTCTAGTTAACCAGCATTTAAATGATGTACGAGATGAGGTTGTGCATAATGGTTAACATCAATCATCTAACATACTAGTAAAGTTAAATCATAATCATTAGTTTAAAGTTGTATATGCATGTGTTTATAGATTCACAAGTGCTTTATAATAGTGCTATGGAATTCTGTACATATATATGGCTGTGATTAAAGATTACATTGCTGGGTTACCAAAATGGAATCTTGTAATATCGATAGTACATAATCACGATCACTGATTAAAAAGCTGGTTAACCAGAATGACATCTTTTAATATTAATAGTAAAAAAAACCATGATCACAGATTAAAATACTGGGTCATCAGAATGACATGTTATAATACTGACAGTGCTAAGGGTGTAGCGCTGCCAGAGTGCATCGGAGAACTGCTCCAGCATTAGAAATTGGAGCCGAGTCCCAACATTTTGAAAACTAAAAATATGTTTATAAACAGTAAGTTATTCAGTTTACACCCAAGCACTCAGTGTGTCAGAGAACAGTCTGGTTTTTGTGATCCTCCATGTCCACTGATAGAGCTCATCAGTCCCCCCAGCACACACTTTGTTACTTTCCCACAGTAGCTGACATCAGGCACCATAGGAATGCCTCGACTCAAGAGCAGGTGTAAGAAAGTTAAAATTATGGAATGTTTTTTTTTGTCATATGTTACATGTTAATGAGATTCACAAACAGGGTATCCAAACACTTAATAAAATACATTGGCCAGCAAAACCATGGTCATGAATAAATGATATATTTATGAAACATACAGTTGTTTTATTCCTCCTCAATCCTGTAATTATGGAGTTTCACCAAGTACCGAGGGTTTTGAGTATCAATTATAAAAATACATTTACCATTATACCATGTGTTTAAAATGTAAACATTTTTAAAAGGCTTATTATAAATGTAATATACAATGAAAGTTTTTGTTTATTTTTAGTTATGTTGGCAGGACAAAGAGTGGATAAATCATTAAAAGTGCCAAAATTCTTAATACTGTAGTGCAGTAATAAATGCTGTAAATTAATGCTTTGACTTTAAACATGCTGGAAATTTTTGCAAGCCATACATATACTGCACACTCACATTCACCTGCTGTAGGTGGACTGTAGCCTATACAGCAAATCAGCAATCCATTGGTTAAGAAGATATGTATCTTAAAAACTTACTTTAATGTTTCTTATTTTTATATGGTGCTCAGTTGTTGCTATTTTCTCATGGTAATATATATATGCACATTCAACTTACTACCAATACAAGTAGTCTCAAATTACACAGGCCTGCAAATTTAAACTTCAAAGTTCTTTTGGTTTTAATAATGGATTTTAAATAATTCAGCTACGTAGTTTTTAAAAATAATATTCTTTTTTTTTCTATCACATAAGAATGTCTTACAAATTGGAAAGAAAGAAAAAAAAACTCTTATTTAAATCAAATTCTTATTTCGTTTACCACAATGAACATTTTTTATTATTATGCTTGTTAAAAAAAATACAAACAAACTGAAGAAAAGGGAAGAAGATTGATGTCAAACAAATATGCATTCATGTTCATCCTTATTTTTTTGTGTGAAATCTACATCTTTTAGTCTCAAAACTATATGTTGGTCTTTCTTTTGCTTTATATGAAAAACCTGTACGTGATGGAAAAAATGAATATCATTTTCAGATTAAGCATGCAGGAATTACTGAAAAACATGTAAACATTTCAAGATAATAAAACCATCACAGGCCTGTGTTATTGGTACTGCATATATTTTATCTAGTTAAAATGAACTCAGAAAAATGGAAATTAGATTTTGAATATGACATCTTTACCTCACTGGTGACATTGTATGTCTGACGAACTTTGGCAGGGCTCAAGCACTATAAAATTTAGCACTATGTGATCATGATTACAGCTTTCAATGCGAGGTAACCAGAATAATATCTTGTAACACTGACAAGTGTATAGATAAGGCAACAACAACATCACGTATTTCAACACTTATACTCTTTGTCTTTAATGATACAGATCACTAATCTATTGAATTTTGACACATAATACATAAAAATTTAAAGCCTAATGAATCATACTGTACTTCTCCTGCTGGTTATCGTGTACTTTCCCACATCATCTGTCACTCCAGAGCCTACAAATTGAAGGTTTCAAAGTATTCAACACCTCACTACACGTGTAAACTGTACTCTGTACTCAATAAAACTGTATTTAAGTTGTATAACAAAGCCAATATGTACATGAATATCTCTAATACATATCATATCCTACAATATATATATATATTTGTGTGTGTGTGTGTGTGTGTGTGTGTGTGTGTGTTACTGAAGTCTTCAATATCCATGATCAAATTTCAAGATCACAGAAGTACGGTTTTAAACTGACAGTTTAGTTTATGCATCAGTTCTGATTAAGCTCTTCACAATTAAATAAAACTAAGGTCATTGAAAACAAAACTTGGCTTGTTCAGTTAGAAGGTACTAGTGTCAGTATTACTACTATACAAGGCTAAGAATGTAAAGTCATGTGGGAGGGGGAGAGAGAGAGAGAGACAGGAGGACCTGACCAGTTACAAAATTTTCTTGCTTCTTCAAAACATAGTTGATAAAATAGCAATTCCTCTTCAGATATAGCCTAAAATTTATGAAAAAAAATATATACTGTTTCTTAAAATCTCCAAGGGGGGCACAGCAAAGAAATGAAAAAGTTTGAAACTTCTGGGCTAAAACATTCACATAACAACATCAATTTAAGCTTGCAATTAAAGACACTAAAAATAAGTTATCGTTATGTTGAATAGCTTCTATGGTTGTTATTTGTGACTTTTGATATATGAATAGAAAGCCTGAAAAAAATTACCACTGTATAATTTATATCACATCTGATATATGTGGAAAATTAAATAGGAAATACAAACTTCAAAAATCTTCCTTTAGAACTTCTTCAGAACAAAGCTCAATCCATGTAAAGCCATTCACACCACAACACACTAGAAATGCATCCTGAAGGTCATTGGACATATGTGGACAGATAGTTCTTACATTACACCAGTATAAGTTTAACATTTCTTACTTAAGTTGTTTATTTACCAGGGACTATACCTAAACAATTTAGTTAAGTTGAACAAAACATGAGGTTGAAACCAACAGCAGTTAATAAACAACAGACAAGTAGCATTTTTAATTGTTAATTAGTAGTATTGTTCACATCCTTACCAATCATACAGGAGTTTGACTTTAATACGTAGAACTAGTACAATTACAGAATATTTGTATTGAAACACAGAGTAAAAATTTAAACTACTTACTTACCCATAACCCTTTTTAATTTACAAACTACAGTTAGATTAGTGTACTATGATCTTAAGTTCAAAAATCTTGAATTTTTTATCAAAAATATGCGATACAAACAGAAATCAATCCAATAAATATTCTTGTAATAACAAAACAGAATTTTTTTTTGTATATATTTTCTTTGATTTCTTAACTTCATGGTTGTCAATTCTATTACATTAATGTATTACAAAAATACAAAATCCTCACCTGTACAATGTTTAAGACTTCAGTTGTATACATATGAATAACCATTAAGACAAGTCAATCCTTGGTTGAATAGCTTTAAATCACTGAAACCTACATAAAAGAAAAAAGTTAAATAATTGTTGTATACTAATACACTAGTTTATTTTTACAACACTCAGTCTTAAACGTGTAAATCTCAAATGTTGTTTTCAGCATTAAAAAATAGTGTATTAGTCACTTGTGTGGCAAGCACTGCAGTGTTAATGTTGTATACAAGATATTATACAGAATACATTTCAGTAAAGTATAAACACATACACACATGTAACTGAAAACCACACACACACACAAAAAAATTCTTTCACTCTAATAAGTGTCAATTTGGGGAATTCTAAGAAAGACTTAGGCAAATGAAAAGTTTTATAAACACTTCTACGAAGTGCTACATCATTATCAATTACAGTGATACTTTGAAACATTTGATTTGCAGATTATTAAGGCACTTGTTTCTTGCCATTAAAAGTATTACTTGACATTTTTGTCCCACAAGCTCGTAATACAGGCTAAAAGAAATCATCTTACAAAGACTAATATTAAGATAGTTAATGAGATAATTAATGTACCGCATTAAAACTGAATCCACAGTAAAAGTTTCACATGAAAACTTACAAGTGAAAAAATCCAACAGCATTCATGGCAAGAAATCAGTTTAGTTAGTCCTTGAAAACAACTTATTAGGTAGAGACCTTGAAAATTATGATTTATAAAGAAATCAATGCCAACAAAATACATGTATATTCTTTACTTTTCTACCAAGTGGTGTTGAAGGAAGAGTATGTAAAAGAAATACAAATGATATTAACAATAAGAGAAGTAAATGAGTTATGCATCAGTTCCTTCATGTTAGACTGTTAAAATTTTTAATCTGGGAAACTCATATGATGAAAGCACAAGTTAATTTCAAATAGAAACAGCACACACTCTTAAGTTATAAAATTTATCTCTATAGTTACCAGAAAAATCAAATCAATAAATGCACACTCAGATGCACACCTCAGTTTGAATATATAGCACTATACCCATCACAACAATAAAATCTTTAAATGCACACCCTCAGATACATCAGATGTACACCCTTAGTGTTTAAATATATAGCATTATAATTATCACAAAAATGGATGTACATTCTCAGAGTTTGAATATACACCACTACAATTAAAGGTAAAATAAATCATTTAAAGGCATATCCTTTAAGTTAAATATTCAGCACTTTAATTGTTGCAAGAATAGAACCTTTAAATTAAATATTCAGCACTATAATTATTGTTGCATGAATAAAACCTTTAAGTGCTCACCCTCTGAGCTAACAAGTTAAACATCATACTTTTAAGTACATGCTCTAATTCTAATATAAGCTATGCAGTACTATAACCATAGCTATGACAGGACTTTTAACTGAAATACAATTGACAACTGAACCTGATTCCCAATATCTTTACAACAATAACAATCCTTGAGGCTATAATTCATTTAGTACTAAGTGACCCTTTAAACTTACTGTATAAACCAAAACTTCTCTGGAAATCTGATTTTTAAGTGTTATACCAGTGGGTTAAAATTCAGTTCAGTTCTGTAACAGCACAATACCCTGGAAGTACAGTATTTGTTTGATCAGGTCTCACATGGGAACAGCTTGTGATGGACATGACAGGCTTTATTATTTGATTTCATACTCACATGTAATATTACAAAAATAAGAAACTTTATTACAACTACTATAGTAGTTTCCCTAGAATAAAATATTCACACACAAATCTATTTAAAAACAAAAAGGATATAAACCTTTGAATATACAATTTGTCAGTTAAAATACTGACAATTTCAAAATACACTCGTCTATACTCAATATAAAATGTATAAATTAAATATAACTGTAAAACAAGAAACGTTTGAAATTCAAAACCTCTGAAAATGCAAAAAAATGTATCTCTAGAAATAAAAATAGATTCTCATTATTCATAAATAAATAACTGAGATTAAAATTACATAACAACCTGTTGGCCATTTTCTTGTTTTAAACCTTTAAACTTGGTACTTTCTTATAAGCACAGTTTCTTAATATCCCCAAGTTCTTATGAACAACATGTGGAGTGAGAGTTACTTGTTTTTATTTTCATTCCAATGGATATTAAACTGCTTGAACTGGGTGTGTTAAAAAAATTTGACATACAGCAGATTCAAACAAAACCCATACAGCACCAGTGGCCCTTGCTTCCATATTTAAAAGTCCACTGTTTGGTTATATCCTGAACTAATGGTGAATATTGCTAACATCATCAATCTTAGAAAGAAAAACAAACCGGTTCAGTGACTTTTTCTAGCTACAAAGAATTGTTAAATTTGTTTACATCAATAATTGTTATATTAAAAATTAATATTTGGCATATTTTGAGAGTTTTGACTCCTTCCAACTTTAAACAAAACACGTGTATTGGATTAACTTACAACTGCAGGCAACTTGCCAAATTATGGGAAATATAACTTTGTTATAAATAAAAAAAAGAAACTACAGATAACAATACATTTTAATAGCATGATACTTTTGATCTCATATTTCAATATTAATCTGCATAAATAATGTACATTTAGTATACCTTATATGGCCTATGATAATGTAGAAATCAAACAAATAGATACCTTCAGCAGAACAGGTTCAGTATGTTAATGTTCACATTATTAACTATATGAACAACCATGTGTGGTTCAAGCACCTTGTTCAACACAGGTTTCCAAATGAATAATACATGTCAAATAAACACACATTTATATAACAATGTTTGTACCAGTGTATTCCCAACTGAATAATATATGTAAAATAAACATGCATTTATGTAACAATGTTTGTACCAATGTATTTTCAACTGAATAATATATATGTAAAATAAACACACATTTATATAACAATGTTTGTACCAATGTATTTCCAACTGAATAACATATGTAAAATAAACACACATTTATATGACAATGTTTGAACCAATTCACTTCCAACTGAATAACTAATATGTAACAAAAACGTTGTTATATAATAATGCTTGTACCAACACAAGCTTCCCATTTAATAACTAATACCTGTCTATACAGTAATGTTCATACTAACAAAGGCTTCCCACTTAACAATTAATAGCTGTAACACTGTATGACAGTGTAATAAAACAATCAATTTATGAAGCTTTACAAAAACAATAGGTTCATTTCACGCTACTGTTTATTCAAAACAACATTAAAAATGTTGAATTGGAGCAGCTAACAATCACTCTGATGCGAATTTAAATGTAATGAATTTTTGTTGTAATATTTTACTTTAGTAGCTGATCAGTCAATACTGAACTGTAAAGTCAACATGTACATCAACACAACCAGAACAATACCTGCTCCACCTACAGAAGTTCAATACATTAACATATGGAAACCTGATATTCAGAAATACTCCAGTTTATTACAATACATATATAACTGAAAGTGAACTGGAATGTTATTCACCAGAGCATGTTTTCAAACTATGACAGCTTCAATAAGAACATGACATATGTAAAATCCCTATTTTAGTATTGACGAAAAGAATGAGAAAGTAACAAGGAGTATGAATCCTATCAAATGAAGCAATATCGGTTGTTTTTACTAACTCAAACTGCATCACTACTTTGGCAGTCACTGAAATGTATTAATCATTTATTAGCAACTTAAAAATACATACAATTAGCATTTTAAATAAGCTGTTAAATTATATCTCAAAAGCAAATTTAAGTAAAAAACAAACTTTACCCACCCATGAACACAAGAATTTATCAAATGATTTGCATTATCTTGACTACCGCCTAGGTATCTTTTCACTCCTACTTTGTTGCCTAATTTAAAGATTATTATACACGTTACTGAGAAGATTACAGCTAGTTATTAAACTTTCCTTTATGAGCCAATATCTTTAAGCCACAAGAGTCTATTAAATTATTGTTGTTTACAAGCATACATCAACGACACTTTTATACCTAAGTACAATCTCTCTATAAAAGCTACCTTAAATAACTATTCTTCAATCCATTTCTGCAGAGTTAATAAAAGTTTTATTGAATCTTTGAGAATATTCTATAACAGTGCATGTGCCATGATAACATATCATTCGATACAACTCCAACATTTAACATTGTGATAAACTGACAGAACTGTTATGATTGGCACATTCTTCAGAAAATAAACACTTTTTATAGAACCTACTGGTATATGTATATTTATAGTATCAATCAATTTTATTTTGATCAAACAATAAAAATACACATACACCACCACCCCCAAAAAATGGTGTTACCTGCTGATTAAATACTGTTGTGTGTACACTTTACCTTTTGTTTTCAATAATTATAAGCTTAGTTACTACTGCTTAGCAACAGTCCACTCCCTAGCAACATCTGTTGTACAAGTACACAGTACATTCGGAAGATTAATTTTCTATTGATTCAACTTCTTCCAGAAAGTGTAATTGACACATACATGTACATCATAAGATTTAAAAACCCAAAAGTCTAGTTATTATAATGGTTCATTGAGAATTTCAGAAATGAAAATTTTTAATCTATTTTGTAAAAATTTATATATCTCTATGAACTTAAAAGCACGAACTATTAAAATTCCCATAGTAATTTCACAAGAGCAAGGGGATTAAACTTCAAAAATGACAACAACAAAAAGCAAACCATGAAGAATAACAAATGACATGCACCCCCCCCCCATGCTGAAACATATATAGATGATTATATTAAGCACAAAGTAAGTATGTCCCATACATACCATGTCCAAGTGATTGAAATAAACAAGATTTTTATTTAGTTGATATATTAGGAATTCCAGATGGCAAAAATTAATAATTACCATTAACAATAGACATTAAGTTTCCTAATGTTATATATTTAAACAACAGTAAGCCAGTGTCAGACAAAAGATGTGTACAAATACAAATGTCTACTGAATATTTGTCATGAAATTTAAGTATGATCAGATTGGTATTTTTAAATTTTCTCTTATGCATGTTTCAACACACACTGTATTGATTCCAG